TGAGGCAAAACAACGCCGTGATAAAACTACGACGAGGCGAGCCATCGTCGTCGCCGTCGAGGCAACCTACACACACACACGCACGCACACACGTCGTGGCATGGCGCATGCGAGCACCGTGACGAGGCCTGGAAGTAGCCAATTAACGCACAGTCACATCAATCCTCATTGGTCGGAATATTCTGGAATGGAGCGCGCATTTGAAGAAACTTCTAGAAGCCGTTTGAGGGCGTATAAAAGAAGCACATAGTTGGCGGCGGGGCGTTCGTAATTGTGTGCGTGTCGTGTTGTATCGCGGTGCGTTTTGATCAGCTCTCGTTGTTGCATTAGTTGAATCGCGAAGAAAAAGAAGGAGAAGAAGAAGCATGTCGAAGGGTCCAGCAGTTGGTATTGACTTGGGAACAACCTTCTCTTGTGTGGGTGTATTTCAGCACGGCAAGGTTGAAATCATAGCGAATGACCAAGGCAACCGCACTACACCCAGCTACGTGGCCTTCACGGACACGGAGCGCCTGATCGGTGATGCGGCGAAGAATCAAGTTGCCATGAATCCGTCGAACACGGTGTTTGACGCGAAGCGTCTGATCGGTCGTCGCTTTGACGATAGGACGGTGCAGGAGGACGCAAAGCATTGGCCCTTCAAAGTGATCAACTCTGGCGGGAAGCCAATGATAGAGGTGGAGTATCGTGGTGAGACGAAGCGCTTCAGCGCTGAGGAGATCTCCTCCATGGTGCTGACGAAGATGAAGGAGACTGCTGAGGCGTACTTGGGCAAGAAGGTGAGTGATGCCGTTGTCACCGTGCCCGCGTACTTCAATGACAGTCAACGTCAGGCGACTAAAGACGCCGGTGTCATCGCTGGGTTGAACGTGATGCGTATCATCAACGAGCCGACGGCAGCGGCTATCGCGTATGGCCTGGACAAGAAAGTGGAGAAGGAGCGCAACGTGCTTATTTTCGATCTGGGTGGTGGTACATTCGATGTGTCCATTCTATCCATTGAAGATGGTATCTTTGAGGTGAAGTCGACTGCCGGTGACACGCACTTGGGTGGTGAGGACTTTGATTCGCGACTGGTGAGCCATTTCGTGCAGGAGTTTAAGCGGAAGAACAAGGGCAAGGATTTGACGTCGAACAAGAGGGCGATTCGTCGTTTGAGGACAGCTTGCGAGAGGGCAAAGAGAACGCTTAGTTCGAGTGCTCAGGCGAACATAGAGATTGACTCGCTGATGGACGGCGTGGATTTCTACACGTCAATCACGCGTGCCCGTTTCGAGGAGTTGTGTGCTGACTTGTTCCGTAGCACCTTGGACCCCGTGGAGAAGGCGTTGCGTGATGCGAAATTGGACAAGGGTGCTGTGCATGAGATTGTCCTGGTGGGTGGTTCGACGCGTATACCGAAGGTGCAGAAGTTGCTGCAGGACTTTTTCAATGGGCGTGAATTGAACAAGTCCATCAATCCGGATGAAGCTGTGGCGTATGGTGCAGCGGTTCAGGCTGCCATACTGAGCGGTGACAAGTCGGAGGCGGTGCAGGACCTGTTGCTGCTGGATGTGGCTCCGCTGTCGTTGGGTCTGGAGACGGCGGGTGGCGTGATGACGGCTCTAATCAAGCGCAACACGACAATTCCGACGAAGCAGACGCAAACCTTCACCACGTACTCGGACAACCAGCCGGGTGTGCTGATCCAGGTTTACGAGGGTGAGCGTGCGATGACCCGTGACAACAATTTGCTGGGCAAGTTTGAGCTCTCGGGCATTCCGCCTGCCCCTCGTGGTGTGCCTCAGATAGAGGTGACCTTCGATATTGATGCCAACGGTATCCTCAACGTGTCGGCCGTGGACAAGTCGACTGGGAAGCAGAATAAGATAACCATTACGAACGATAAGGGTCGTCTGTCGAAGGAGGAGATTGAGCGCATGGTGAACGATGCCGAGAAGTACAAGCAGGAGGACGATAAGCAGCGTGATCGTGTGTCGGCAAAGAATGCTCTGGAGAGCTACGCGTTCACGATGAAGTCGACGGTGGAGGACGAGAAGGTGAAGGAGAAGATAGCGGAGGGCGATCGCAAGAAGATCTCGGAGAAGTGTGAGGAGACGATAAAGTGGCTGGACGCGAATCAGCAAGCCGACAAGGAGGAGTACGAGCATCGGCAGAAGGAGCTTGAGAGCGTGTGCAATCCGATAATCACGGAGATGTACCAGGAGGCCGGTGGGGCAGGTGGTATGCCGGGAGGCATGCCAGGTGGAATGCCGGGTGGCGGTAGTGGTATGGGCGGTGACGCGGGCTCTGGCAACCGCGGTCCGACCATTGAGGAGGTGGACTAGGTGTAGAGTTGGTGTATGGTGCATTGGGCTGTAAATACAGTGTGTTAGCGAGAGTGCGAGTGTTGTTGTTGTTGTTATTATTATTGGTGTTGTTGATGGTGGGGGGAGCTGAGGTTTGGGGGTTGGTTAAGTGGGGTGAAGTGAGTCGGGCGGGCAAGTGGGCGTGGGTTGTG